ATGTCCAACCAAAAAAGATAGCTAAGTAAGGCTCCAAGTCTTTCTTATGACCTGAACTGATCAATACTTCTGAAAAACTGAAAAACACCAATTTAAATGATAACAGGTTTGATATTTTCATATCTGATTTTGATGGAACTCAGAACTGTAGACAATTTTTAACCCTTTATTTCCCATTTCAAACTATCCTTTCTTTTCCATATTCTGCAGTGGGTTGTTTTTCAATTCTCTCTCAATCAGTAAAGTAAGGATTATCCATACATGTGTAAGAAATCCTCTTTTTAACGTATGCACACCCATCAGTAGAAAAACACATAAGATATCTAGGCCAGCCAACGCTCGGCTCCCAGTGCTGCAATTAAGGACCATCCACTAAGAACATCTGTCTGCCCTCTGTGCAGTGTTTTCAAATTCACACCCTTTGAGACACCTGTTTTCCTTGAAAGAAAATATAAAATGACAGTGCTGGTGAAGCACTGTACTGCAGAACGAGACTTCTCTCAGAGCTCTCTCAGAGCTCTCTACTTCAGGGCTTCAGTACAAGAAAGGAGATTTTTTTTTATTTAGTCAGCAGTAGTAGCAACTGCCAGCTAGGTTCCAATATATCTATATATTTATATATATATAAAGTTCCAAACAAGGGATAACCTGTAACACAGACATAACTCCCTCATTTTTCATGCAGAGGCTCTACCATGAACAAAAAACATGCAATATTTAAACTGAAAATAAACTAAAAGTATGGCATAGGTAAATTACTCCTACAAAAGAGTAAGTATCATAGTTTCATGAAAAAACCACTCCTACTAAATGCAAGAAGCTATTATACCCAGTCTTCCCCATATTATGGCACACGCAACAGGCCTTGTGCATGAAAGTTTAAAGACAACACTGAAGCAAAAGGCTGTTTGTTACATTCAAAGGTAACAGAGGGAAAACGTCAGTCACAGCGTGCATCAGCCACAGCAAGAGGCTAAAACTGCCTGGTTGTTGTGTGTTTTGTTTAGATATAACATCGAAATTTGTCTATACAAGCAACACAAAATACTTAACATTTAATAGCTTTGTAGCGCAATTGGAGAACCTAAACTATGGGAAAACGTAATACATAAACATTGCTTTTTGTTTTATTGTTTAATAATTTAAAAATACTTCAGTAATTAACTTTTCATTCATATAGAAAACTTAAAACTTAGCAGACACACACTATGCAATTTATGATGTCAAGACTGGAAAAGCAATATAAATTGGTAGATTGTTAGAAGATAATCGTACTGGCTATAAAAATTTCTCTGATTTAGAAAATTATGATGTAATGTCTAAAACCAGCTCCCAGAGCAGGAAATGAATGTTAGAAATACAGACAAACAAGCTCTTAAATAAAATTTAACACAAAAAGCCACAAACCAACAACAAACAAACTCCAAAACCACAGCTGCTCAACAGGGCCTCCATACAAAATTTAGCAGGCTTCTCTGAAAGACATATTTCAAAGACAAGTTCAATACGCCATTTATAAAATACTGCACAGAATATGACATATTCCAAAATTACTGTATCTGAAATAACTGTTTTATGGAGCCAACCCAACCTCCTTTAAAAATTCAGGCTGTATAATCCCGATTTCTCTCTGCCATGTAAGAGCAGCTCATGCAGGGCTTCTTACAGCTTCATGCACTGTATCACTTCTGAAAAAGCCACAATACTTAGTAATTATGCTACCTTAAAGACAAAACATCTTCTCAGTGAAATGTATTACCTGATGTTTGTTTTGTAAATTTCTAGGTTTTTTAACTGTGATGTTACTTTTTGCAATAAAACGGGATATTTTTCTTAGGTTTCAGGAGTCAATTAATAACAAACAACATTTAGATTACAAAGAAAGTGAACAATTCTTCTTCGGAAAAGGAAAATGAATGGGAAATTAATAAACAGATCTTTCATGGAATCATTCTGCAGCTTTTCCAGATAGAGAAACTATTTAAACTTGAGTACTAAATTAAAAGAAAAAGTGGTAACTTTTAGCTAGACCATGTGTATATCTTAATATATCATACTCTCCAATAATGGTAGCTCTGGTCATTGCTTCCCAAAAGAGTATTGTTTTTTGCACAGGTATGCTACCTAGAGTAGCTCTGGTTAACAGAGCACACTGTGTCGTTTTCAGCAAAGTCTTTATTTGTACAATATCTTACATAAATATTGTCTAAAATCTTTTCTGTGTAGCATAACTACATTCTTTTCATCATACTAAACTGATACTGTAAACAAAAATTAGGGACTGTCAAAGGAAAGCTCTAAAATGTGTATGGTGGGTTTATGACATTTGTGTTTACCTAACCAAGACAACACCAAAACCAAGTACTTCTGTATTCTACACGCCTCTATACGTTATCCTTCTATAATTACTGTAGTAGCACTTCACTGCACCACAGTGCCCTTTAACTAAAAGTCTAAACCTCATAAAGTACTCAAGAAGCCTGAATAGCCAATTTCAGACGACAAACTTATCCCTCTTTATTACAGATTTAGAAGCACTTCTACAACTATAAACAACTAAGGCTTTTTTTCCCAGTAGTGAAAATAATCAAGCAGCTGCTAAAGCCTTCAACTGCCAAAACACCACAATGAAGGCAAGAGTGGCATTTAACTAAGTCTTCTCTGCAGTAGAAATTACAGTTCTGCAAAGAAATTACTTTTCCATCACCAATACCTTCTTCTGAAGGGATTATGCCTGACTCTTTCCAGTAATTACAGGAACAAAGCTCACAGTGTGCTCCTACCAGCTGAGCACAGGACAGCACCTTCCCTTCGATCCAACTGGCACTGCAGCAAAAAAAAAATAAAGGCAACTGTAACTCAAAATCCTCCTAACTCCTTCTCTGCCAGCAAACCAAAAGATGGTGGAAAGGACACCTGAGTATGCAAAGTAACCTGCTTATCACAGTCAGAAAGCAAAACCTTGCAATTAAATAACAGGCATAGTCCCACTGAAATGTCACTCGCACCCATTTAGCATCAGCTGCACAGTCTGACCGCAGCCATGCCGTGTGTTCCACCTGTACTTGCAGAGCTCGCCGTACTTTAGCAGCTTTAGCTCACCCAAGCATTCTGCAGAAGTCTGTAATTCCTGCCCATCTGCTTCATTTTAAAAAGATTAAGGATTCAGACTTTCAACACGTTTGGCCCTCTCAAGAAATTTTAAAGTAAACCTGCAAATGAACCGAGTGAACTAAATGCAGTACACAGAAAATGACACGAGCTTATCTTACCGATTCTTCCTGAATGCAAAAGACTGTTTTGTTCATTACAGTTTCTTCGTATGTCAGATGTAAAAGGCCACCCGTTGAGAGATCCTGCCTCAGCTCTAGAAAACTTTGTAGCTTATTGGAATTCTACTTTGAAAAACCTCTAAAATGCCCAATATACACATAGGTATAGGTGCTTATGAGCATTACTAGCATTCAGACATCGGCATTTCAAAATTAACTAGTTAATTAATTGAACAAATTACAGTAGATGAGAGGAAAAAAAGCCAAAAAAACCCAACAAAAAAACAAAACAAAACAGAAAAGAAAACCAAATTTTCCGAGCCATTTCATTTGACTGTATCAAGCTTGTTTCTTAATGATTTCCTAATGGTAAGAATCTTTTTTGCAGGATTACTACAGTTTCATTTTGCTTCTTCATTTACTGCTCATGGTATCCAAAAATACTCCTTAAGAGACACCCTGTCCCTCCAAGACACTCATGACACCTTCTTTGCAAGTACAGAAGACATTTTCACATGCCGTAGAGAACCGAAAGGCTCACTGGGTCTGCAGTCAGCACCTCTGTTAGGATCACGTACACACGCCAGAGGGCTGCACACAGAAGAGGAACAGACTGCAGTTCTGATAAACAGTTAATGACAACATTTCTCAAACTCGCACATCTACCACCAGGGAGTTTGAAGCAAGAATTGGTAAATATCTCCTCTGAAGAACTCGATTATTAGGAGACTGATCATTAGACTGATCATTGCTCTGACTGGCAATGATCCTAAACTGTTACTTTGGTTTTCCAATGGAAATGAACAAGGAAACAAAGCACATTTTAAAAGACACATAATGTACCTCTTGTGGCCAAATATATTTCTTGTGGTTGAAACAGTCAAGTAAATGCTGGTCGTGATTTTGTAGAATAAGGTAAATTCCTAAAGATGATCAATCAATATGTATCTGCCCTTAAGCACATGGTCTTGAAAGGCAAGTTTCATAATTCCAGCTGAACACAACTGGCTTGCATTCTCACCAATGGTCTAAATCGAGAGGAGTACTCATGAGATATGTGCTTAAATGTGAATAAATTGCAGAATCTGCCCTTGAATATTCAACTCTCAAATCATGGAATCTCCACAAAAATCTCAGGTGAGTGCTCTATGCCAGCGTATCCCCAGATATCTGAACTGTGTGCGCAGGGCATCACTGGCCCCCTCCAGAAACAGAACCAGGAATGGCCGCTGTTCCACAGCAACTGTTACTCATTAAAAAAATAAAGCATGTGGAAAAACTGGGAGAAAACGTGCATCCACCAATTATTTATGTAAGCTATTCAGAATTGGGGTCTGGTTGGGTTTTGTTTGTGGGGTGTTTCTGGTTTTGTTTTTGGTTGGTTGGGTTTTTTTAAGTTTTACTCAGACACTTCCACTTTTGATTAGTAGTAACATTATCTCCAATGTGTTAAAGCGTGCTCTTTATGCAGGGTTGTAAACATTCTTCTTTTTGCAAACAGCAATTAACTTTACATTTAGAGTTTGGCTTTTTAAGAATGCACAAATCTCACAGTAATCAACTACACTTCAGAGGACACTACAGTGGCACAGCTGAAAGGGAAACAAGAGTAAAGATTTCGACCTTTTATTTTAAATCTAAAAAAAGTCTACAAACAAGGACTCCTCAAATACTGTATTTGCACTTTTTCAGAATAACTTTAAAATTACTTCCAAAGCATTAAAATACATTAAAATATTACTCACAATTAAGGGATCATCTCGCCCCATTGTAATAACAGTTCTGTTCACAGTGCGTAATAACTGTACCATTATTTCTTGAATGTGGTGATAAGTTGATGCCTGCAAAAGAAAAAGAAAAACAACCCACAGAACAGTTTTGGCATTAAATCCATCTCTCTTGTGAAAGAAAGAAACCAATTCTTTCTACACATCTTTTCTGTTTCGTTTTCAAACCTTTTTTCATATATTCTTCTTGAACTTAAAGCACAGAACGTTTGCTACCCCTGTGCACCAGGGTACCAGTCAAAATTTAGCATTTTATTTCAAACAAACCTTGTCAACTATTGAAAGAATGCTTCCCGGGTCAGCAGAGGACTATGGCAAGCCACCTGCCATAAAATGTGTCACTTGATCAAGCTACCAGTTAACACAGCAGTAGAGGAAAGCCGAAGCAGCCTAGAGTACAGCACATATATAACATTATACACCTTGCCCATTAATGTTTTGTTTCTTATTTACATCAAGCAGAAAATACACACATCAAATTGAGAAACTGCATTATTTGTATAACTTCCTCTTCATAATTACAAACATTAAATACAGCAATTATGTATACCTTTATCTTAAACATAAATCAAGCCCCTTAAAGATACACGGCTATGACTGTATCAGCACTTTGGTTCAGAACAATTTTTAGGCAAATCCCTTGATCGCTTCCATTTACCATGTACTGCTTTAGTGGTTTTCTTTCACACAAACTAGATCAGTTTTAGATAGAGATAAACTAGAAGCTCCTTAACAGTGCTAGAAATGAAGACATTAAGTTCTTGATCAATGTTAAGGCCACACCAATACAAGATTCCCCAGCGTGTTTCTAATCTCTCTGTCTTCAGAAAGCTGAGCCATACACACAATGGAGATGTTTGAATCAGTGTCAGACCAGAGCTTACTCAGTGTAAACTACCCAAGCCACGTAAAACAGATTCATCAGGAGCCCCACAAGAAACCACACGAATCCAGTGGTACACTTGCACTGTGACACATTCCTTGCTAATGCAGACAGTACTAAAAAAATCCTACACAGCCAAAGCAAAAAAAGCACGATTAAAGGGGAAGCGACAAAAAGCAAAGTAAACATGGCACAGAAATTTTTGTTTGCTGATACTTCTAAATATTCATTTAAAGGCATGCAAAGCTTCTTGCTATAACTGTGGCTACTTTATGACAACAGGCTCTAAAAGCACTAAATGTCTCAGCATGTAATCTGCAGAGAGTATTTTCTTTTCACCAATGACAGATACTGTGTCGCACTGCAAGAACCACAGCACAAAGTTTTCTGGTCAGAACTCTGTCTCACCAAAGAACTGGTTATGACATCTGCAGCTACCACACCAAATGCAGAGATCAAGACTGGCATCTTGGCTGGAATTGCTATTTGCAGCGCTGCAAGAAATAGTCTGTGATTTGGCCTCTGCTGCAATTCAATAGATATTCATTAATCATAGCTGTTCTTATAATATTGATTACCACTGTAATTAAACAAAAATCAACAGCCAACAATTGTAAATGACACAGTAGTACTTCACACCACAGGTAAATCCCTTGTTCATTAGTTCACCTTTTCTTTTTTCCAAATTCGAAGATGAGGGCTCTTATAATCTAACTTCACTTCTGTCCACATTTCAGCACGTGCCATATGATTATTCCTAACAGTTCAGAACATTACATCATGGTGCCAACATTTAACCATGACTCCATTATTACAGATGAGCTCTATTCTGAATTCACAAGTAGCACATAACACACCTTCCCTGGAAAAAATATAGCATGTGCTAAAGCATGAAAAGGTTCTTTTCTGCTAAGTCTTTGAAATTTCAGATAAATGTTAGCAAATTAATTAAAATGGTTTCTTTATGAAACTGAGACTTTCTTCTTGATTACCAAAGAAACAATGAGGCATTCAATACTGACGTTGCTTACTTAACAAAAATAGTTTTCACACTTTGCCTGTACAAAAGATTTCCACTTTTATTTTAACTAATAGCAAATATTTTAACTAAAAATATCTGTGCAGTATAACAGCAATGAGTGTTTAATTTTCATGTTCTGTTTAAACTTCTATAGCGTTGGGACAGAATAATTCCGTTGTCTCAGAGTCGACCATGCACGACAGTGTACGACAGGGTGCTCATTTATTTACTGTGACAAACACGGACTAACTGAATGACTCCTTCGGAACTGTAGCATTACACAACCTGCACTTGAGATATCAACTTGGAGAGACCTGTTTGGTCAGTTTGTGTCAGCTGTGTCCCTCCCACACTCTCACCCAACTCTCGCCTGCTCCCTGGCATGGGACAGAGCGAGAAACAGAAAATGTCTTGACATTGCAAACACTGGTCAGCAAGAACTACCACTTTCACTGGTATGTTATCAGCACTGTTTTGCTCACAAATCTAAACCACAGCACCACATGAACTGCCATAAAGAAAGTGGCCTCTGTATCAACCAGGTCCAGCAAGCTCACTCTGTGATGCATCCAGTTCCGTAACCTCGTGTTCCTCCTCTGACACGCACACAAAAAAGAGCACACATAAAAGGATAAAGATTTAGGTGGGTTTTTTTCTTTTTAAATCACAAAGTTCACAATCATGTTTCGTTCCAATGGAAAACTGTCTGCAGAAGAACTTCAGATAGCATACAGTTTCCCTGACTAATCTGCTTTGAAATTTTTTTTGCTCAAGTCTTAAGCTCTGCCCTAAGTTAGGTCAATACTTTACCAAATTCTGTGGAATTCTAAAGTGCTCCCAGACTTGTTTGCTAATATGATCTACAGCTTAAAATGCAGCTGCTGCCAGTTACTGACTTCATGCACAGAACCAGAGAAGGTTACACATCTCACTTCCACTTGTAGACTTAACCAAGATTTTATTTTAGATTCCAAGAGAAAGAGTTCATCATTATATTTAATCCTGTAAGCACTATAAGTAGAAACTTGTTCCGATACAGTTAATACAGAACTATAGGATATATGTCAGATTACGGACAAAGTCATCTTATGAGGTGATGTCAGACTGCACACAAAGTTGCTATAGAAGGGAAGAAAGGGAAGTGTGAAGTAAACCAGAAAAAAGTAACAGATTTCACCATGACATTTGTCAATGACTTACTTGCCGTTCTGAGCTTTCACAGGTGCAGAAAGCACACAGTCTCAAGTTATGAAGCTACTTTTAGACATGATTCAGTCAAAATAATGTCATCTATGTCCAAAAGTTGTTTATTGTAGAGCCACTTTAAAATGAAACATAAGCATCTCACCCAGATCTCACCTAACAATGCCTGTCTATTCATAAAAATAAAGTCCTTACCATAAACCAGTGTTCTTCATGTACTTGCTACCTGCAGAACCCAAGAGCTACACAGCAGCAGAAGAGAACAGTGTTTGAACACAAAGAGCTGATGATTCACACGTACACACTCACCAAACAACATAGGGAGAAAAAGAGTAGAGCAGAGCTGGTAATACCGTAACAACTTTTTCTTTGAAAATCTCTTCTTCAAAAATTCTGTAACAGGTTCAAAGATCACCTCACAAAATAAATTTTGGCCACACAAAACAAAGAACTAGTGCTGCTGCTTTTCTGTCCCTTGTGCATATGCTACTTCTGGTGATCTTCACAGAATAAATCCAAGGCAGAAAATACCTAAGTTAAGTTTTACAAAAAGTTTTAAAAACTAATTCAAAACCAGGTATCTCTACTGAGATGGAAAAACAGAAGAAATATGGACAAGAAGTTGGTGCTTTCAAGACATAGTTAAGCTTAAAGTTTTCTATTCCAGCAGGTCAAATAATTAATTTTCTTAAAAAGATATAAAGAGATACGGGAAATTAATTGTTCAGTAGAAACTTGCATTAATCTTAAGGTTCAAGTGCAATCACATAAGAAATAATTTGGTTAGTTTCCAAAACAATTCTCTACATCCAGATCCCACTGAATAAAAGCATTCTGAAGGAGACCACATAAATATTGCCATCATAATAACCTGGCCACATGGTGAACCTATTCCATTTGCCTGACCAGTATGCCACATGAAGTATTTCCCATTGCAAGTCAAAACTCTATATGCTTGAAACAAGATTTTTCACTTTAACTGAAAAGTGAACATCTATATTGCACTCAAATCTGCACTGTCTCGTAAAGACAAATTACTGCCTTAGATATTGCTGTATTGAAGCTATTCCCTTTTTTTCCCCTTCCTTTTTTACCTCCTTCAGATAAATAATCTCAAAAGCAGATTTTTAATACTTAAGCAGGACCAGTGGTTAGCACAGCTAAAAAAACCGAGACTGTGATCCACGGATTCTCGGTCAAAGAAAGAGTATCTACTAGAGATAGTCACACATTAGCTGTTGTAGTTCAACAGTCTCGTATTTAGTGACATATACTTTAATATAGTCTAATATCCATATTGTGTCTGATCAGCAATTATACTGCCAGAAGGCACACTAGGGTATGTATTTTTCTCAACAGAAGCCTTAGTTCTTTCATGCATGTCCCAGCTGTTCTACGATGTTTCTTAAACTCATGAATGATGCTGCCAGAGGGGTCATCAAATGCTGAAACCACTACTGACATTAAACATACTCCAGGGGACTTATCTCCTTATATAAGAAATTCCTCATTATTTATTGCAATGCACTGTAGGTAACTGCCACCCAAATATCTTACAGAGAACCTGCAGTTTACAGGCTAACTTCCTTAAAAGAAGTTATTGAAGAAATACCACTTGTTTTAAGCAAATGCGAATGTGCTTGGTTTTAAATACATGTGTTATAAGTTCTCAGCAATTTTCATGACATAATGGGTTACACATTGCCTAAAAAGCCATTGTTTGTCATCATGCGAAAAGGTCTGCCTGGCTGCCTCCTTCAATAGAGTAAAAGCACAGAATGCATCGCATGCTTTCAAACAACATCATCCTATACAAATTACAAAATATTAACTGGATTGTTAAAAGACTGAAGTCCAAACCTGTGAAGGGTACAATCACCCATTAAGCCTCTGATGTCCAGCTGTGATTAAACACATACATCACACTGACTGGTGAAAACAAAACAACAAAAATCCTATTGTTAAAGATAATGTTCTCCTCAATGATAAAATGCATTTGATTTTAAATACAGCTAAGCATTTGCCTAATATCAAAGAACAACATCTGAAGGAAAAAGAATTAATGGCTTTTCAAAAGCTCTGAGCAGCATCACACCAACCAAGTAGTTTTCAACTCAAATATTCACAACTCCAGACCAAAATATTTGTCTAATATTTTTTCTTTTACATCCTTGATGCAAATGTACATTAACACATTCGCAGAACTGCCCAAAACCAGCAGTTACAAATCTCTCAAACATGGAGTTTTATTGAAACAAACACTTGCTTTTCTTCAGGCACCTTTGCACTTCATTTACACCTTACTTCTATAGACATAGAATAGAGATATAGATATGGGTCGTCTTCCATCCCTTCTATTCCTCAAGCTTTGTTTATACCAATGAATAAAAAAAAATAAATCTCTAAATCAAACAAACTTCTTCAGTTTCCGTCTCAAAAACTTCTAAGAAACCAAGCAACGTGCAGTAACAAAATGGTCCATGGATCCATAGGAAAAAAACTACTGAAATTACAACTTGCCTATGCCAAAGCCTGCAAAGTCTGAATACGTGTATCAGGAAACTATAGCTCAGGAGAAACCAGCACGTATTCATAGAAGTTACATCTGTCCTAATGTAATGAATTATGAGGTTTTCTCAGAATAAATTCCTCAAATTATCATGAAACTTCACTGAATAATCCACTGCTTATTAAAAAGTAAGGAACTAAAAAGTCAATTCAATATCCTCTCAAATGAGAAAAGCAACCACCCAGATCAGTTTCTAGAGTGCTCCAAAAATTCAGGAGCCTGAGAAACTACTGACTCAATGAAACATAGCAAAGAGCTATCTGTTTTACACAGATTCTGTTGAAAGAAGAAACCAGAAGGTACAACATTTGTACACTGAAAAACATTTCTTTCAGAAACTACAAAGGTTTTTATAAAAGAAACAAGATTTTAATATTATTCTGAATACTTAAAATAGAGTTGTCCTTGAGAAACATCATAGAATCATCCAGTAGCCTGGGTTGGAAGGGACCTTTAAAGGTCATCTAGCTGAACCCCCTGCAATGAGCAGGGACAACTTCAACCAGATCAGGTTGCTCAGAGACCCTTTCAACCTGATCTTGAATGTTTCCAGGGATAGGGCATCTACCACCTCTCTGTGAAAGCTGTGCCGGTACTTCACAATCCTCATTATAAAAAAATTATTCCCTGTATCTAGTCTGAATCCCCTCTCTTTTAGTTTAAATCCATTACCCCGTGTCCTGTCACTACAGGCCCTACAATAAAGTCTGTCCTCATCTTTCTTATAGGCTCTGTTGCAAACATTATAAGCTTTCCCCAGAACCTTCTCTTCTCCAGGCTGACCAGCTTCAGCTCTCTCAGCCTGTCCTCATAGCAGAGATGCCTCAGCCCTCGGTTCGTTTTTGTGGCCTCCTCTGGCCATGCTCCAACAGGTCCACGTCTTCCCTGTGCCGAGAACTCCAGAGCTGGATGTAGCACTGCAGGTGGGGTCTCAACAGAGGAGAGCAGAGGGGCAGAACCACCTCCCCTGACCTGCTGGCCACACTTCTTTTGATGTGGCCATTGGAGGAGGGTTATCCAGGTGGCTTTCTGGGCTGCAAGCGCACATTGCTGGCTCATGTCCGGCTTTTCAACCACCATTGCCCCCAAGTCCTTCCCCTCAGGGCTGCCTTCAATCCCTCAGCCTGTACTGACACTAGGGTTTGCCCTCCCCCAGGTGCAGGACCTTGCACTTGGCCTTGCTAAACGTTATGGGGTTCACATGGGCCTACTTCTTGAGCTTGTCCGGAGCCCTCCTGAATGGCAGCTCAGCCCTCAGGTGTGTCAACCACAGCACACAGCTGGTGTCAATATTCTAATTCATTTCAGTATGTACTCCACTGAACTTTAGCACTCAAAATTAAAAGTGCCTAAACCTCTACTAGGGAAAAACACAACAGGCTCACTGTTTTTAATCATACTATGGTGATTTAGAGCAGCTATTTAAAGAATATAAAATTGAGAAAAAAAAAATAGCATGGATTTCAGTACTTCACCTTTAATAACTCAACTGCCCTTTAACTTACGTTTATGAAAAACAGGAGAAAAGTTCAATTTGCCACTGACTTGTATTAAAAATTTAAGTGAGATTCATCAGCATCAATAATTTACTACCTAATCAGCTCAGGCTGAGGCCATCTACATCATCATCAGTACTTACATGGTCTTGAGAGCTCAGAACCTCCAGGATGCTATTGAGTAATTCAACACAGTACTTCTTCTCTTGGAGCTGGAGCTGCTGATCATCCCTTTGTTCCAGTAATTCCTTCAGCTCTTTTGTAATCACAGGAAGCAGAATGTCCCTGCATTCTGAAAGAAAGAAAATTATCTTAAGAACAAATATAAATCAAATACTATGCGCAAATAAACCCTCCTCCAAACAGTGAAACACAATATGCTTTAACAGCCACAGTCCTTTGCAACATGGAATTGGTGATTTTTCCAATCATGCCTCAGGCATACTCTTAAACTTCTGTGATGTTTTTGGAAGCCAACACTATTTCTCATCTGTGAAAAACAAAACATCCTGATGTAATTTGTTTCAGCTAAATTCTGAGGGCTGTTTAGCTGTTCCAAACACTTAGGGACAAATTATTCAACCTACTTACAGAGCATCTCGAAATAAGCTATGTATAGTGACAGGATTCTAATGTAAGAATACTATAAAATACTACACTTATTGTTCTATCTGAAAATAAGACACAAAGAGCAATGGAATTGTTCTATGTGCATTATTCCGAAACATACCTTCTAAGAGCACATAAAAATGTAGACAAGACTAAGGCCTATCAAACCTCTAAGAGTGAACACGATGCATGCATTCATCCTTATTTAAATCTAAGGAAGCTGACACAAATAATAAGTTACATTTCATTCTCATGTGTACATTGACTTTTTAAGACAGAGGTGCTTAAAAGAAATGTTGGGAGAACAAGCAGCACAAATTTGAAGCACCTTTAATGAAAGCACTATCACTATTCCTGTCTACCTAGGAATAAAAGATACAGATTTTTTTTTTCTAATTGATACATGCCACTGAGTGACTTAAGTAGCAACTCACTTGTACTGTGCTATGTAATTAAAGAGTACAGCACAACAGCATGAAGAATGCTGAGCAGATGCTTCAAAGATTTGCTATATTTATGAAAATAACCTAGGAAGAGAAGAGCGCTTCAAAGGTTCCACCTCAGAATAAAGTTTGTGTGGAACTACAAGAGCATTCCAGTCACAGACAGCGGGCTGAACTTCTTCATTATTTCCACTTGACTGATTTCTTATTGCTCTTCAGATTCTCTAACTGCATACAAGATACGCTGAAGGAAAGATTAATCACAAGCTAAATCCCCCATCTTTCCTATAAGATTGTGGATCCAAATGATAGACCACAAAGCTCACCTGCATACAGTACCCCTATACATACTTGTCTGCAATGTGTAAGTATGTTACACATGGCAACATTGTGTCACAAGTTCTCTACTCTAAACCTGCTGTGCACAAACTCCACTTTTTATAAGGATGCATAACCAGTACTCTAACATTCTGCAAGAGACAGTAACAGCTACAACTAATGCACCATGAAGATGGACGTATTTAGACAAACACATCCAACCTCTTACTAATCTGCAACCACATGTCACAAGAATACAGATTCCAAATCAACAGCATGGAAGAAATTTAGCAGGCAACTGTTTTCTCCTAAGTATCATTCTTAAAAACAGTGTCTTTAGAACATGTCCACTTTAAGAAAAATCAATAGGGACTGCTACGGGCAACAAAGTTCAAAGTCATATGAAATTACGTGACAGCTACTTTTCACTACTCACAAAGAGGATGGAACGTTATATGCACATACGAGTTTCATATCCGCCAGGATAAACATACTTTCTGCTCCCACTCCTCCGAAAATAATAACCAGCTCAAGTTTTAAGCCATTAAGATCCACCTTGAAATGTCTGACAGCTAGCAAATAGAAAAATTCTCTTTGGGTAGCTTTTAAAGGTACTGGAAGCAACTGGATAATAAATCATTAAAAATATATATACTTAACGAGCTCCATTTCAAAAGTAAAGTAAGAGACTAGACTGAAGAAAGTCATTGAAAGCACATTTAAAATTTGTACTTATATAGAAAAGAAGCTAGGACTTCAAGGTAGGTGTTACACGTATATTAATCACTACATTACATCTGACTTCACGTGCCAGTGATACCCATTTGAGCAATAATCAGGAAGCACAGAGGACATCATGACTTAAAACCTGCACTGGACACCTTAAGGAGGAGCGGAAGTAAACTTCATTGAATTAAAAACCCCTCCATACCAGGGTCTCTGAGGTCATTTAGAACTTCCACCAGAATGCAAAATGTCTGCTGTTGTCTGAAACTCTTTTAAAAACCACACACACATGTATTTTGGTAAAAGGAGTAATTTTGACACAATTCTTCTGCATGAAGCCATTCCATACTACCTAAACATTAGGAAAGCAGGGCTTCCTGCATAGACAATTTTCCTGTTGTACTGAGAAGGCAGCCGAGGCAGAAGGTACAATGTATTTCCTCCAGCTTTAAGAGTAATTACTCTACAAACTCTTATTACTCACAGTTGTACTTTGCATTATAAATTGAAATTTGACCCCTATTTGATAAATACAGAATCTATTAAAAGGACTTAACATGTGCAACTAATCAATTATTTACAGCACATTTTCAGATGTGAACAGTGTAGAAGCATCCAGCTACACGGAAGTTGAGAAGTCTTTTAACTCGCCTTAGCTGCATTTGCTTTTTAAAAGCAATTAACCCCCGCACTTGTAATTATTGCAGAAGTTATTCAACATACTTTTATAAGCAAATTGTAATTTTTTGTGTTAATTATTTTGGTTTGGACTAAGGCTACGTGCCTGTATTTTGTGACTGGCTGCTAGATAAACTCGGCTTGTTTTTTCAGGTACTACATACAAACTAAAGTAATTTTCCTGTAGCAAGCTACTCAGAAAATGTACTTCTAGGATATGATTTGTAAACTAAAGACAATAGTTAAGGAAAATACATTAGGCTTTATAAGACCCCTACCAATCAATGTCATCCCATATGAGAATGCAATTCCAAGATGTTCTGGTGAATGCATACAAACAAAGTAACAGAAAAAGACCACCATTTTTAGCAAACAAGCCCTGTTCTCAGCCTGAGCCTGCAAGTGGACTGATATAAGCATAAAACTGATGCCTTCTCATCTTTAAAAAAAAAAATCAAAACCTTTGCACTAGAACACTACACAAAATATGAAATCTCTCTGTTATCTAGGGATACATACTGCTTATTGAATGGGTATGTACATTCCAGATTGTCATACTGAGGTATCATTGCACTTTAGCAAGCAAAACAACAAAAGTGCTCATTTGAGCATCAACAACTCACTGGCTAGGGAAAATGAGAAAAAAAATTTAAGAAAATAATGGAAGACAGTAATCAAGAAAAGAAATAGGCAAAGTAAAGTTTTCTGTTGTGGTATTTGATGATCTGGACCATTACTGAGTACACCCTCAGTAAGTCTGCAGACACCACCAAACTGGGTGGGAGTGTTTATGTGCTTGAGGAAAGGAAGACTCTACAGAGGGACCCGGACAGGCTGGATCAATGGGCTGAGGCCAATTGTGTGAGCTTCAACAAGGCCAAGTGCTGGGTCTTGCACTTGGGTCACAACAACCCCATGCAGAACTACAGGCTTGGGAAAGAATGGCTGGAGAGCTGCCCAGAGGAAAAGCACCTGGGGGTGCTGGTTGACAGGTCAATATGAGCTGGCAGTGGGCACAGGTGGCCAACAGCATCCTGGCCTGTGTCAGCAATAGTGTGACCAGTAGAAGTAGAGAAGTGATTGTACTCTGTACTTGGCACTGGTGAGACCACACTTCAAACACTGCACTCAGCTTTGGGCCACTCACTACAGGAAGGACATTGAGGCCCTGGAGCGTGTCCGGAGAAGGGCAACGAAGCTGGTGAAGGGTCTGAAGCACAAGTCTTATGAGAAGCTTGGAGAAGAGGAGGCTCTAGGGAGACTTTATCACTCTGTACAGCTACCTGAAAGGAGGCTGTAGAGAGATGCACGTCAGTCTCTTTTCCCAAGTAGCAAGGGACAGGACAAGAAGAAACTGCCTCAAGGGTTGTCAAGCCCTGGAACAGGCTTCCCAGGGAAGTGGCTGAGTCACCATCCCTGGAGGTGTTTAAAAGACGGGTAGATGTGGCACTTACGGACATGGTTTAGTGATGGACTTGGCAGTGCTAGGTTTTCAGTCCTACACGATCTAAACGGTCTTTTCCAATCTAAACGGTTGTATAATTTTATGATTAAGTAATCCATATGCACATGCATCCAACCCAAAAAAACTACTAGACAGACTGGAAGAGAGTACTATCTGCTTTTTTTGCTTAATAAACAATGTGATAGTAATTGCTAAAGACAGATATATTATTTCTTAATGTTCAGAGTCGTTAAAAAACAATGGTATTGACTGGCTTTTTTTCTAGAAGCCAGAATAAAACAAGTGCTGCCCCAAACTGTATTTGAAAACATAACACATCAACATACAGTCTGAACATCTTGCATTTGTTTCATCAAGCTCTGCCAAACGACATTGTTCCACGTATTTACCAACCCCAAATTCCAACACACTTCTCAGAAAAGTTCCCTCACAGCACCTTCTGACTAAGAACAGGTAGATACACTCTTATAAAAGATTAAGCTTTTACATGTTCTTGGGTTTGGTTGGGGTTTTTTTAACCCCTCTATTCACCTTATTCTTCAAAAGGTATCTAATGATTTCTTCTGTATCAGCCTAAATGAAATCCAAACTCTAAGTCATTAATGCAATAATGTCATTAAATAAGACAACTGGGTCTCCTTCAGCAAGAGTCACAGATGGGCTTCATTCCTGACTGCCCCATATGTGCAGCCAAAATGGTCATAAAGATTTAAGAGTCCCTTAGAAAACACTACTCTTGATTCCCTGGCATGCCTGTAGTCTTATCCATCTGTCAGGATGGCTTCGTGCCCACTTAAAAACTGGCATGCCAACTTAATAAGGACATAGGTGTCATCTGAATACAGATTTAGAGCAAAGCCTTAAAAATAAAATCAGTGAACAACATTTGTTTCAACAAGGAGAGACTTCTGATGGCAGTCAGTGCTCAATTACAGCACCATGCTACTTCACAAAGGACATCTGTTCACAACTGCAGGCATCTTTCTATTAAAAGTCTTCCCTCTTCGTTATTTGCCATTTAACTCTTTGTTGGGAACACAGAAGTCATTAATT